ACTGTGCTAAACTCATGGGATAGAAGGTCACTACAGAAATGTTCTCTACGCATCTGTTGGGGTTGCTCCTGTGAAGTAAAGTCTTAAAATTGACAGGCCCTGGTCAGTTGAGTGCTCAGATGCTCAGACAGCAGCTTGTATTCAGGAGTTTGACTTTCCCAAAAAGTTCACTGCTGCTGGTTGCTCTCAACTTACATCACCTGAAAAGGTTATGACTTTAACTCAGCTGCAGATCTTTTTTTCCTTATGATATTAAATATATCTCTTTTCAAAAGAAAGATGCATTGAAATACAAGTCGCTCTAAAAGAGCAAAATAAATCCTGTGCTTTTTGGCCAAACTCACATCTTCAGCTCTCAAATTAGATCTCTCACTGATCTAATCTGAATGAATTTTAAGTCCTACTTGGGGAGCAGCTACACAAAAGGCTTTACGGTAATTCTCCTCTTCCAAGAACCGGAGCGTGATTTGTACGTGTCCGTGGTGACTGCAGGTTATAGCCACCCATGTCCAAGACCAGATGATCTCTTGGTAGCTCCTTTTTGTGGAAACACCACCAAGAAGAAATGATTTCCATGCTTCATTCTTAAAGAACCTATGTATTGCATTAGCAAAGTACTGAGGAGTGCTGGGGTACTCCACTGGGTTAGGGACTGCAAATACTGTTTGGATGAGCAAAGAGAGAGAACTGAGAACCCATTTAATTTTCAGTTTCATGAGTTTATGAAAAACATTTTCTTAAACAATACAGTATACGTGCTTCTTTGAGCTGCGATTTTGGGTCTTCTGAGGTTGACAGACTTTTGGATTCATCTTCACATTATGAAGATACAAACCTCCAAGTAACGAGATCAGCTAGGCAAAAGTAGGTGATTAACTTCTCATATGTTGATTCCACAGCCGTTGAATAGTGATCCCACAGCCTTATCTGTGGTCCAGATGTTTGCACCATTAAATTTAATCCAGTGTGGGGCCAACGGGTAGGTCCAAAATAAAAGCAAGCTGGTGTCCTAGGAGACTGAAATCCAGCCTGTATGGGTCTGTAGACTGCAAAGCAGCCATAAGCAGAATAGGCTGGTCAGGGCACGTGTCTGAGCAGCATCTGGAGGTGGGAGAGGAGCAGAGCCCACATGGGGAGGGCACAACACTGTGTCTGCCAAGCTCTGTGCTACTCCACCCACAGCTCTTTCTACGCTGGAGCTAAAGCTTGGTCAAATTTCTGATGCTGTTGCTGGCAGCATAGACGTGGCCTTCAGCTTTGAAGAGCTCATGTTACTGCCACATTTTGTTGGCAGGCTCCCTTTTGAGACTGCTGATGAAGAAATCAGTTACAAGATAATATGATGTGTTCAGGTTGGACTGAGATGTCTGCCTCCTTCAGCTTGCATAGTCTGTGAGTCTTTGGATCAGAGCAAATGTGGGGGTGGATGTTGAGTTTGAAATTAAAATCTGTATCTTTGGACCATCTGGTGGTCTTTACATTCTGACTTTTGACAACAGACTTGGTCAGGTGAAGCCTGTCATATACACATTGAGTGAAACATCTCACTCTGCAGCTGGCTAAGACTGGCAGAGCATGTGAAAACTACTGTGGTGCAGATGAGCAGGCTTGGGGGTGAAAATCTGAAAACATAACCTGTGAAGAAAAAGCAGAAAAAAATTGGTTGTTCAGTCTAAAGCAGCCTGAGTAGTAGCGATGGGAAGCAACCCCCTCCCCCCCCAAAAAAAAAGACCTTAGGGTGCAGGTGGACAGCTGGCTGAACAGGAGCCAGCAGTGTGCCCAGGTGGCCAAGAAGGCCACCAGCATCCTGGCCTGGATCAAAAAGAGTGTGTCCAGCAGGAGCAGGGCAGGGATCATGCCCCTAGACTCAGTACTGAGGACCTCAAGCCATGGCTTGGGGACTGGGTTCAGTTTTGGGCACCACAGTGTAAGAAAGACCTTGAGGGGCTGGAGCAGGTCCAGAGAAGGGCAACGAAGCTGAGGAGAAGTGTGGGGCATGTGGCTTCTGAGGAGTGGCTGAGGGACCTGGGGTTGTTTAGTCTGGAGAAGAAGGAGGCTGAGGGGAGACCTTCCTCCTCTCAACAGCTCCCTGAAAGGAGGTTGGAGTGACGTGGGAGTTGGTCTCTTCTCCCACATAACTAGTAATAAGGCGAGAGGCAATGGACTGAAGTTATCCTAGGGAAGGTTTAGATTGGATATTAGGAAGAATTTCTTTCCTGGCAGAGTGGTGAGGCCTTGGCCCAGGCTGCCCAGGGAGATGCTGGAGTCCCCAGCCCTGGAGGGGTTCAAAAAACATGTAGTCATGGCACTTGGGGACATGGCTTAGTGGTCATGGTAGTGTTGGTTTGACGACTGGACTTGAGCTGAGAGGTCTTTTCTGACCTTAATGATTCTATGACCTTTGGAGTCACTGTCCATCCTGCTTCTACAGGCTGTGTTATTTTCTGGGAGATGTAGGAGACACTTCTGTTCGATGAAACTTGAAAAAAAATAAAATCCATTTTAGGTTCACTTTGCAAATGTGAGATTGTGCTTATAGCAAAACTTTTACAGATATGTTGCAAGCCCTTAGGAGAAAAACTGTATGGCAGCCACTTGTACTACAGAATTAGACCAATGGAAGCCTCTGTAGGATCAGTTTTAAACAGGTCTTGTCGCTAAATTAGGTAGAAGTCTTGAAGAGTGGGAAGTACGCTGAGAATACAGTGCTAAGGGGAGTTCATCACTGGAACAAATATTTTTTTCTAGGATATATTTGGCTGAGGTTGCTCACAAGGGTGGCCTGTGGTCATGGGCGTAGACGAAGTGTTGTGTTGGTCTACACGTGTCTTAATTTGCCAATTTTGTTTGGTCCGTGGGACCAAGCGATATGCAGGCAAGGCACTCGGTGGATTTAGAGATCTGCTTCTTTCCAGTAACTACTGTGCAGCAAGATACAGGCTGTGTGCTAAGGGCTGAAGCGGGCTGAAGAGCAGAGTGGAATGTTAGTCTGAAACTAGAGGCAAAATAGAGGTTCTCCTTTGACCTGTTCATTAGCTGCCCTAGGGCAAGTTTTTAATAGAAAAATGTGCTTGCTGCTGTATTTGTTTTAGGGTGCCATTAACTATTATTTGAGTTTCAGCAGCCATAGGAGAACAGATATTCCAGTATAAGATGATGTTCTTCCTTATCTGTTTTGCTGTGACTTGGGAGCTCCTAAGAGCCTTAGTGTCTATCATCATTCCGTGACTAGTTAGGAAAATGCTTGCACTTGAGTTTAATTTTAAGGGAGCTATTTGGTGGCTTTCTGTTGAACTAGTTAACCACAGGGAGAGCTATCTCCTACATCTGCAAGCAAACACTGATGGGTTTCCTGCTAAATAAAACTGGGAATGAACTGTTGATTGATTGGGGTTCAGCAAACAAGGAAGAACAGATTTGTAGGTCATGGAGTCCTAGAATGTTCTGGGTTGGAAGGGACCTTTCAAAGTCATCTAGTCCAACCCCCTGCACTGAGCAGGGACATCTGCAGGTGGAGCAGGTTGCCCATCCAACCTCACCTGGAATGTCTCCAGGGATGGGGCATTGACCATATCTCTGGGCAACTGGACCTGGGGCTCACCACCCTCAGTGTAAAAAATTTCTTCTATCTGGTCTGAGTCTCCTTGTTTTGATAGTTTCAAACCATCACCCCTTGTTCTGTCCCAACAGGCCCTGCTCCCAAGTCTGCCCCCAGCTTTCTGACAGGCCCCTTGATGACCTGCAAGGCCACCAGAAGGTATCCCCAGAGCCTGCTCCTCTCCAGGTTGAACAAGCCCAACTCTCTGAGCCTGGCCTCATAAGAGAGGGGTTCCAGCTCTCAGATAATTTTTGTGGCCTCCACTAGACCCACTCCAACAGGTCCATGATCTGGCCCCAGTACTGTAGAGGGGTCTCACTAGAGTGGAGCAGAGGGGCAGAATCCCCTCCCTCAACCTGCTGGCCAGCTGGGCTAGCAGAATGAGAGACAATCTTTTAAAAGCAGGTTAGCTGATCTGCAGTGGAAAGGGCTACGTAACTCCTTCCTTTGCACCAGCCTTGGCATTCACCTGCTTCCAGGATGTACCAGAAACATACTGTGAATAGAAAATGATGTTTTTTCTTCCTAAACCGGCTCACTGTGGGGTCAGATGACTGCCAGAGCAGGCATAAGGGAGGAGGAAGGTATGGTGGAGGGGGCAGGGAGGCACGGTCCTTCCAGAGCAGTGATGCTTAACTGCACCATAAAATCACATCCTCCATTCATCTCAGCTGATTGCAGATGAGCTGCATGGAAACTACGTCAAGTGGGCTATGGCCTAAATTAATTAGGAAATGTTTTCTGAGGTAAAGCACGTTGGAAGGAGAAAGCCTGGTGCTGTTTTTACTGAATGGAGCCGCAGACTGTTGTGTGCTTACGGCAGCACTGCTCACTGGCTCCCTGCTAGGCCAACTGCACTCTAATGTGTGTCAGGGGATCCTGCTGCAGTAGGTTTGTTGCTTTTGTGATGTCTTCAGGTGCCACAGAAGATGTAGGGATGTGTCCACTTCTTGTCCTGTCCTTTTTTTTCCCCAATAAATTCAGTGTTTGTGATGGGATCAGGGGAGCTGAGGACACAACTCTTGCTTTGAGGTCAGTAGTCTTTCCACTGTAGGCATTTGTGGGAGGGATTTCACTTCTCATGTGATTGTAAAGTTCTGGAAGACTCATAATTTCTGGCACTTAACTGAACTAATCAAAGTCCTGTTCAAGTCTGTTGGGAGAAGAAACATCCTTACACTTGTTCTCAAGCATACAACATCCAAAAGTAATTCCCTGCTTCTAATTTCTATGATGAATTCTTGCCACATAGTTCCCCTTACTTATCTAGGACTCTTCATCTCTCTAGTTTAACCATTCAAATGTGTAAATACAACTAAATGTGTGGTATTGGATTATTTTTGTTTTTGTTTTTGTTTTTGTTTTTTTTTAGAATTAGTCCCAGCATCGTGACGGTTCCATCATGTCAGAACCCATCACGCTCAATGTTGGAGGAAAACTCTATACTACCTCTCTGTCCACCCTGACTAGCTTTCCAGACTCCATGCTGGGGGCCATGTTTAGTGGGAAGATCCCAACCAAGAAGGACAGCCAAGGCAATTGCTTTATTGACAGAGATGGCAAAATCTTCCGCTATATCCTGAACTTCTTACGAACTTCTTACTTGGACCTTCCCGAAGACTTTCAGGAAATGGGCTTACTTCGACGAGAGGTAGATTTTTATCAGATTCAGCCACTGATTGAGGCCTTGCAGGAGAAGGAGGTGGAGCTTTCTAAAGCAGAGAAGAATGCCATGCTCAACATCACCCTTGATCAGAAGACCCAGACTGTTCACTTTACCGTCCGAGAAGCACCCCAGATCTACAGCCTGTCTTCCTCCAACATGGAAGTGTTCAGTGCTCATATCTTCTCCACATCATGTCTGTTCCTGAAGCTTCTTGGTTCTAAACTCTACTATTGCTTCAACGGAAACCTCTCATCAATATCCAGCTACCTGCAGGACCCCAACCATTTGACCTTGGATTGGGTCGCAAGTGTGGAAGGCCTTCCTGAAGAGGAGTACACCAGGCAGAACTTAAAGAGACTCTGGGTGGTACCAGATAATAAGCAAATCAATAGTTTCCAGGTGTTTGTGGAAGAAGTGCTAAAAATAGCCATGAGTGATGGTTTCTGCATAGATTCTTCTCATCCCCATACTTCAGATTTCATGAATAATAAGATTATTCGCCTAATTCGGTACAAGTAGGAGTGGCTGATTATTACAGTGCCAGCCTGAAGATAACACAGGTTAAGTGTTTCCCTCTAAAACACACTTACAGCCTAATTCAGAATCATGCTTATCTGGATTAAGAGTCACTAACAAGGAGATGATTTTCCTTTAATGTATTTACCAATACGACCTTTCAGAATATGTCCATATTCTAGATGGAAGGAATATTGTGTAGCACCTGAATTGAGGACTGGTTCTGTCTCAGCCTCCACCTCTGACCTGCTGTACAACTGTGAGGAAAATCTCTTAACTTCTGTCCTTCCTGCATTTTCCAGTTGGGAGATGGGAGTGATCCTTGTAACACGTATTGCAAGGAGATGAGAGGGTTCAGTCATCAAGGTTTGGAAGGTTTCTGGAGAGCAGATGTGGTGGAAGATGCCATGGAGCTGCAGAGCAGCAGACAGCCCTGGGGGCACATTTTCCCTGTCTTGCCATATCACCTGTGCAGAGCATCCAAGAAGCTTGGCTGGATCCACAGAAAAGAAGCCTCCCCACATGCATGCACTCAATATAGTTGTAAAGGATGGTGCAAACTGCACATGAGGAAGGGGTCCTGTTGCTTTGGGTTCCACAAAGGATTTCTGTCAGTGTCTGAGGCTGACTGTTTTCTGAACCCTGTGAGGAAGCCCCTACTCTGTTCTGCTTTCAGGGAAGTCGTATTTGGATGATTTGTCTGGCGTATGAAACAAGCAAGGAAGCCACAGCAGAGACAATGGTTTTCTTACGATTAAGAAGATTGTGGCTGGTGCAGAAACTTTGCTTTGGATGCTCTTTCACTTTACATTCCAATGGCAACCAAGACAACTAGACTTTTTCTTTCTCTTACAATGTTGTATTTGTCTGGAGGATGCTGCTGAAACTTTCTGAGGTGGAGACAGACTGGTGGGCCAGAGGCCCCCAAATATCTTCTAAACGTTCAAGCCTCTTCTGCTTGGACACAGCCTTCTTTTGGGCACGTCTCCCTTCAGCAGTGCCTGGAGCGCATGGGATGCTTTCTGGGAAGGATGGATTCCATCTGAAAAAGTTACAGCTAGTATTTTTCATTACAAAACCAGAGGCTTGCTTTTCCTGTCCTGGTACATTGAGCCGCTTTTTTTTACATCGCTGTGAAATGGTCAGGTCACTAAGCTAGCACTTTACCCGAGTGCTTCTCTTCAGTGTCAGCTTGTCAGAGGTAAGGCAGTGGGAAATCAGAGGTGATGTAATGCAGATCATAATCCTCTAGCTGCATGTTAGCTCTAAACATTTGTGCCACATCCTTGCTATGTGTGCACGAGAGATCCACTGGAGCACTTCCCAGTATCTAATGAGATGGAAGGGAAAATGCAATAACCAACTTTTGCATTTAGAACTTTAGTGGTTCCAAAAGTTCTTAGCAGAAGGCTGCAATGTTCAGTATTGCTCCTGTTCTTGTTTCCCAAAATAACTAGTCTGTCCTTAAATTAAGCTGACCTGCAAACAAGCATAAAAAAGTGTTTTGTTACTGTTGAAAAAAACAGTGAGGTAAATGTATTTCTACTGTCCCAGCTGTAACTCCATGAACAACACAAATCAGCAAGCTGATGATAAAAATGCATGTTCTGCAGCTGTTGGCAGCCTGTTCTAAACCACTGCCCCTGACTTGGTGCTAGACCAGCATGATATATGTGGGAACATGTTCTTAGGAATAAACCTGGCAAGTTTTGTAAATTTTGAGGACGGTAAACAGGATTTTGTGGCCAAATTTCAGCTTCAGCCACCATATTCTTCTCAGTTTAAAAGTCTTTTTTAAGAAAAAAAGTCTTTTTCCCCCATCCCTAGCCTGAAATATAAAGTGGGAGTAATCTGTTCCAGGGGTTGCTGCACACCATTCACAAAGGAAGCGGCTCCCGTCTGAATCTTATTTCTGATACAAGTTTGCCAGTCAGTTGGACATTTGCAGTGCTCTATGCAGGTAATATGATCTGTAAAATACCATGCAGGAACCCTCCTTCATCAAATCTGTACCTTGAAACAGATATGCCTTTGCTGAATTTATGATAGCAGAGCTCTGGGGGACTGTTTACAGTATTTCTTTTTAACCCACGCCCTTGAGAGTAGATTTTAAATTATTTTTAACAGGAGTTCTTGTATGTCAGGATTAAAATAATACTTACCTGTAGTAATTTTGTTTCCTGTCAATTTGAGTTCATCCAAATATAAGAGCTGTGGGCTTAAATCTTATTTGGGAGGGAGGAAAAATTCTGATCTACACCCTTTAGAGCTCTGGATCAGTACTGCTCCATTCCATTTCAGCAAAATAAAAATATTCCCTGGGAGAGCTGAATCACTACTGCATTTTCTGGTGAAAGGCAAGTAAGATGAGTCCATAGAAGCACTAGGCATAGCTTAACGTAGAGCATTTACTCCTCCCCTTTGCTCCTATCCCCTGTCCTTTGCTTTGGACAGTAGCAGCACCCACACTAAGAGCAGTTATAGTTTATTAAAAGTCTAAATAAATGAAGAGTGTCCCAACCTGGCTTAGACAGTAATGGGTGTAATTCTGCTGATATGGAAATATGGGTTTCAGTCCCCACAGACTGAGGACAGAACTGAACCCAGGTCTTCTAGAGTGCTTTAACCCATCAGTCTGTTATGCAAAAGATGGATGACTTGAATATACATTTTTCTGTGTTCCTGTAAGTAAATCAGGCAAAAGTATGGCTGGTGAGTTATTAATATGCTGGAAGGTGCAAAATACCTCTCTTCTTTATGCAGAGAAATGCCAAATTTCCAACAAGTATAAAGACATGAGTGAAGATGGGCTTTGGGAGGAATAGGGAGACTTGAGATAACTCTAAATTGCTAAGCAAAATAAACACCTTTAAGCACGAGGTACTATTTATAATGTCACAGCCTTCTGCATGCTCATCAAGTACGTGAAATAAGCAGCAAGTGAATCACTTGCGACTGCAGGCTAACGTATGTTACACGAACGCAGCTGCTAATTTCAGTCTACGCATGAAGTTAAATTTATAGCTGCTCCCTAATTTTGCAGTCTGTGAATTAGGTTATAATAACTGTTTATAGGAAAGTTCTCCCTCCAAAACCCGTGTTCCCTTCTTATCTAGATAGCTGGCTTTTGTTTACCTTCTTTTCCTGAGCCCCAGAGGTGTAACTCGCTTTTGTTCACCAGTCAACAGCAGGGATGATTCTTCTTCTCAGGAGTTCTCCTGAATTAAATGGACACGCACAAAGCCATCCTGAATACAGCACAACCCCACCACTCGTCACGGAAAGCACTTGGCATTTAGTAGCAGTTAACATCTAAAAATTATTTCAGCACTGAGCATAATATTCACTTTTTCCTTTAAGGGCATGAGAACAAGGAAATGATCTAGTGAGGTTTTGTCCCTGAAAGTTTGAACATCTCGGTGCATAACTCCTGTTCTAATTCTGCCATATGTCCATCTCCCTCAACACCTTCATGTACAAAATGAGGCTAAATCTGGAACTTTTATTTTTTAAATGTCCTACATGCTGAGGGAGGCACTGAACAGAGCGATCAATAGTATCAGAGAAGAAAAATAGCAGAGTTAGGGCAGATAATAAATTAGCTGTAATCTAACAGCATTTTCAGATATGGGCACGTGCAGAGTACAGTGGGATTTCTCCTATGACAAAAAGATCATTAGGTAGCATCTTTGTGGAGTCCAGAAAGACTCACTCATGAATTTCTATGTTTTTAGGCTCGATAGCTCTTAAATATCTCACAGTGTCCAGTTACAATGGAGGGAGTGAAACCATCCAAAGTCATCTTGGGTTCATGCAGCTATTAAAGGGTGGGAGGAGCGTTTGTTGCTGCAGGTGATGGTAGGGAAATAAATATGTGTAAAAATTTAGACCTGAAAGAATTCACATGTTATCAAGAAATCATGGATTTAGAAGGGAGATAAGAATATTGATATGTTCAGAGAAAAAAAATAAACACAAAATAGCAAGATAACAATGGAGACAAAGATTTTTCTATGGAAGGAGGCTGTGATGAGAATGACTCACAGGTCCTTTCCACTTTTAATCTCCTGTTATGCAACTTAAATATTGGTCGTGCCAAAAGTTATGCTAGTAACTTGTCAGGAGCTGACAGCTTTGCTTCAATTTGCATGTGCTTTAAATCACCACACATATGCACTGCTGTAGATACCATATTTTATCTGGGTTGCTGAGTATAAATGGCTGCTTGAGTTCACTGGCAGTGAATATCAATTATATAAACCAAGATATAATTGATATATAAAAATCAGATTTACTACCATGCTAGGAAAGGCTGGAGGGTCCATACATAAGGTTGATGGGAGTGGTAAATGTTGCCTTCAGCCGTGGACTGTGGAAAATAAATCTAGGATCTTCCAATACTTCGCAGATGAATGCAGAAGTTATGAAGAAGACTCCTCTGGGGAGTCTCCGTAGAATTCATTTTCTCTTCCTCCTCTTGCCATCCTCCTCCCTCTTGTTTTCTTGCTCCTACTCCTAGCTGTCAAAGTTTCTCCCTGATCAGAATTTTGTCCCCAATTCACTAAAAGCCACACTTTTGCATGCATACTCTTTGGAAAGTGTCAAAAGATGGGGTTTATTTTTTACCACGTTCCAAGACCACCTCTGAGGCCACCACATTGAAAAATCTGGTTGTGTTTCTCTGCCTGTAACTCTTTTGGGAACAGTCACTAATATGTCTTTTAGAAAACAGTTAATAAAACGTGCATGAAGAGGAAATACTCTGCCTGACAGACGTTCCTTGAGGAAGGAGCATGTGGTTACGTTTACTGGATCTGTAGCTGTTCTGTCTTTCTGAGGGTCTTACACAGTGCATGACTACAATGCCTACCTGGACGTCTCCATGGCTGAGAAGGAAGCTGCCCCAAAATTAGTGCAGTTGTAGATTGAGCCCTTGTACTGCGCCCTGGTGAGACCCTACCTGCAGTGCTATGTCCAGCTTTGGAGCTGTCAGCACAAGAACC